AGGGAGCTTTGGATTCATTTCTCACTTCGATCATAAAGGAATTACTGTAGCAGTCCAAGGCTTGGCACCTCAGACCTGTCCTTACACTATTCCCCCCCCGAAGTCATTCACTTGTGAATGATGTTGCTGAGGATAATGAGGAGAGTGCATGAACAAAGAAACTATGGATAAGTCATGGAAGTATAAGGAAGAAAGCCGAGAGTGAAAACAGCTGAGTTTTGAGGGACAAATTGGGCATGAATCGGCTCTTGATTGTCATCTTCAAATTTGGCATGTCTTGCACAAGGAACATGTAAGGATAGGTCCGAAGTGCCAAGCCTCGGACTGCTACAGTAATTCCTTTATGACCGAAGTGAGAAATGAATCCAAAGCTCCCTGCTCTTGATTGCCACTGTCACAGCTTTGGATTCATTTCTCACTTCGGTCATAAAGGAATTACTGTAGCAGTCCGAGGCTTGGCACCTCGGACCTGTCCTTATACTAATATGAACATATCTATAGTTAAGAATCACATTTGATTATGGGCACAGTACAATGATGTATAATTGCTCCATTATAATCTTATTTGTAGTCAGAAATCATGTTTCTACATTTTGCTTTCTTTGTAAGCCTGCACTAAACAACACCCTTGATGATATCTTCTCCGTCTACAGGATTCAGCCTCTTGATTGCCACTGTCACAGCTCTTTTCGTTCGTTTACCAGATCTAAACTTCATCTGAATAGTCGTGTACAGTGCTTCTTTCTTGTCTGACAGAGCAAATAGACCCTTCATTCTCTCCACCAGGTTCAAGTTATACAGTTCTGTACTTAACTAATCAATTATGAATGGAAATTAATTCGGAACAAATCCAATCAAGTCATCTAGAGAAAAAGAAAAATCTATTTGCCACTTTATGTGAACTCTATCACAAGTTGCCCCACAAGGATTGCCCACTTTTATATGCTTGGATTGTAACAGAAAATAAAATGTGTTTATAGAATCAAGAGAGATATAAAAATATCATAACTTCTTAATAAGTCAAGGAGATAAATTGAAAGGAGTCCTTTAGGAAAAGTGAGGTTGGACCATCAATCCACTATGTCATGCAAGGACAATGCCAACATATCGAAAGGAGATCAAAGACATGAAAGTGAATCAAGAGTGAAAAAGCATCACTGCTATGTGATGACCCCATTAAAGCCAAAATATCAACTTCTTATTCTTTAGTGGGGATTTGTCAGAATGATTAAGAATTAGAACACAAACCATCAAGATACTGCAGAAAATTCCTTAGAATGCCAGCTGCAAGTGATGAGCACTACTTGAAGATAGAGGCACTGAGAACAATACTTACTGTCTCCTGCACTGCCAAACTTCTTTTATATATATATACGTATACACCCTTCTCCATGCTAGATGAACTGAGCAGGTTTAGAAGAAAGAAATGTTGAAAGCCAATCTTCTTGCTGTTCTCAAGTTAGTTCTGATCTTATTATGTACTGGATGGATTTCTCTCTGGCTGCTGAAGCCGACAAATCTATGGACAAGGAAATGGAAGGAAGCTGAAGACAGCACCAGAAGTACAGTGATTGGCTATTATGGTACACAATTAAGATAAATATATCACTCAGATGTGTTCTGCTTACTGTCATAAGAACCATTTTTTCATATATTTTAGTATTTAAATCCCTGCCATTGATCGCATGAGAAAAATTGAGCAAGAATTGATTGGAAATTATATTACTTTGCAGGCCTTAACTTTGCTGTGTATACATTTCCCATAATTAGTCTAGCTATTGTTGGACTTGTCTGCTTGAATTTGAAAGCAAGGGAGCTGCCAAGAAGCAGGTAACATATTGCATGTCACTGAAGCATAAAATAATAGGAGATCTTATTTTTTATTCATTTAGTAAAATCTCTTCCTTCCTAAAATTGCTTGGCAGGCAAACAAGAGTATCAACTTCTGCCTTTTCAAATCCTCTTGTTATTAATAGCCTTCTGGGAGTTTTATCCACCATGGAGATTCTAGCAGTGTTTCTCTTTATCCTCTTTCTGGCATGGACCTTTTACGCGCACATATCGAATGATTTTAGGAAGTTGATTCCAGTCAAGTCAATGAAACTGGATTTGTAAGTTCTTAAAAACATTTTAAACAACGCAACAGATGCCAAGAATTCAAGAACATTACACTTATTATTTTCTTGCTTCCTCTTTGTTCTTTCAGATGGCAACTCAAGTATTTGAGAGTGGCAACACGGTTTGGCCTACTAGCGGAGGCCTGCCTGGCTTTACTTCTTCTTCCCATCTTAAGGGGACTTGCTGTATTTCAGCTTCTTGGTATCCAATTTGAAGTTTCAGTGAGATATCATGTATGGCTGGGGACTGCAATGATATTTTTTGCTTTCTTTCATGGGACCAGCACCTTGTTCATCTGGTGTGTTAGCCACCATATTCAGGATGAGGTTATAGCTACTTTTCCGCTACATGTCATTACCACTTGTTGCTTTTCTCTGCCTCCTTTTTTCTTCTTATTTCTGCTTTCTTGTTTTCCTTCAACAACAGGTACGGAAATGGCAGAGAACAGGCCGGATTTACCTTGCAGGAGAGATTGCTCTTCTTGCAGGGTTAGTTATGTGGATCACATCACTTCCTCAAGTAAGAAGGCAGAAGTTTGAAGTATTCTACTATATGCATCATCTGTACATAATATTCCTAGTTTTCTTCTTGTTTCATGCTGGAGACTGACACTTCTATATGGTTTTTCCGGGGATTTTCCTCTTTGGCCTTGACAAACTACTTCGAATCATTCAATCCAGGACAGAAACCTGCATTCTCTCCGCTAGACTGTTCCCCTGTAAAGCTCTAGAACTCATTCTGCCACGAGGCGCAGGTAAACCGAAAGGATAAAGATAAATTATTCTAAAGTTGAGCTGATAATATATATATATATTCTAAAGTTGACCTTAGGCTATATCAAAAAAGTAGTCATCAGGCAGTTTTTATCTTCGTTGCAGGATTGAAATACACCCCAACAAGTGTTGTATTTATGAAGATACCAAGTATTTCCAAATTTGAGTGGCATTCGTTCAGTGTAACTTCCAGCTCGTCAGCCGATGATCCCATGATGTCTGTTATAATCAAATGCGGAGGATGGTGGACAAACTCTCTCTATGACATGATTCAAGCTCAAGTAGATTCAGAAGCCAACAAGATGGACTGCATACCAGTAGCCATAGAAGGTCCTTATGGACCTGTCTCCATGGACTTTCTAAGGTACATAAAGGGCTCATATTACATATACAAGAACTTGCTTATGAAAAAAATTCAGAAATTGAACCTCCCCTTTTGCAGATATGACAGTATACTTCTGGTTGCTGGGGGAATAGGAATAACCCCATTCCTCAGCATACTGCAGGAAATTGCGGCAGCTCAAAGCAGCAACAGATATAGACTCCCCACTAGAATTCAACTTGTATTTGCTGTAAAAAAGTCCCGAGACATTTATCTGTTAAATTCAATTTCTTCTCTACTTCAGAACAATCCATCACCAAAATGGCATCTCAAAGTAAAAGTCTTCGTGACACAAGAAAGGCAGCCTGATGCAACAGTAGGAGAAATACTCGAGGAGTTATCACCGCCACAAACAATTCACTTTGCCCAGAGTGGTCCAATATATGTAGTACATGGACAGGAAAATTATCTCTGGAGGGCTGCGCTGGTTGCAATTGCATCCGTTGTGTTCTTTGTTTTGCTTCTGTGTTTCAACCATATATTTATTCCCTCCGAGAAGAAAGGTTCTCCATCGGTAAAACTAGCTGTTTCCTCAGAGAAAAAACCCCCCAAAGCACAGAGTCCATCTTGGGTAGCAGATCTGCTCATCATTTCCTCTTTCATCATAGCTCTAACATGCAGCAGCTTGGTGGCAATTGTACTGAGATGGAGAAGGATGAAGAAAGAAGTCCCACCTTTCTCTCAAAAGCAAGGCAAAGCAAAGGAAGTTAGCTCAGTTGAAACAAAGGGTGTGGTTGAGGAACATGAAGTCCATTTTGGAGAAAGGCCTAATTTGGAAGGTATGCTATCTAATTCTCAAAGACCTTGCTGAAATTTCATTTCCAGCACTTGTTCTGACATTTGATGAAATGATCAGATATATTCACCATGTTCGCGAACGAAACCGGTGGATCTGACATCGGAGTCCTGGTCTGTGGACCGGAAACAATGAAGGAGGCAGTGGCCAAATTGTGCTGGAGGAAGTCTTCATACTTTAAGATTGGTCCCAACAAGAAGAAACCATTCTTCAGTTACCATTGCTTAAACTTTAACCTGTAGATTCGTTCTTTAAGTACTTGATTATTCCAGAAGCATTAGAAAAATAATCGCATGCACAAATGACAAGGAATGATTCCATAGCTGGTAAATGACTGAAGCAATTTCCATAACTAAAATTGAATATATACCAAATTTAATCAAATCCATGAGTCCAAAAGTCAACAAACATGTAGGCTACGTAGCTAACAATTGAAAAAAGAGTGGAAAAACTGAAAAAACAGAAGTTGTATTCACACCAGCCGTACAGGTCACACCACCTCCCTGGAATCATCAACGTCGCTGCCGTGGGCCAATTCATTCAACAACTCCGCCGGGCCGGCTGCCACCTCCTCTCGAACCAAAACAGCTACCACCTCCTTCATGGTAGGCCTCCTTAGAGGCTCGGGGTGGCAGCAAGCCAACCCCAACTTCAATAACAACTCCATCTCCCCCACCTCATACTCTCCTTCAATCCTTGAATCCGCCGCCTCGTACACTTTTCCCTCCCTGTACAGCTCCCTTACCCAATCTATTAGCACCACCTCTTCTTCATTTTCTTTTGTCATCTCTATCGGCCGCCTCCCGCACGCCACCTCCAATACTACCACCCCGAAACCGTAAACGTCGCTTGATGCTGTTGGTGTGGCAACGTTTGCTAGTTCAGGTGCTAAGTATCCCAACGTGCCCACGACCCGGGTGGTGTTCGGAACTTGCCCGTGTTGGTATAATTTGGCCAATCCGAAATCCCCGAGCCGGCCTCTCAATTCGTAATCCAATAAAATGTTGCTTGACTTGATATCTCTGTGTATGACAACTTGGTCCCAGCCATGGTGAAGGTAGTTTAGGCCCTCGGCAACGTCAGCGAGGACTTGGCGGCGACGTTTCCAGTCAAGAACCTTCTGGGGTTTGTCGAAAATCCAGCGATTGAGGCTCCCGTTAGGCATGTAATCATAGACAAGCATGAGTTCATTGCCCTTGCGGCACCATCCTCGCATTTGGACAAGGTTCTTGTGTTGCAGCCTTCCCATGCTCGAGATCTCTGCCATGAACTCTCTCAGGCCTTGCTTGGAATCGTGGTTCACGCACTTAACTGCAACCTCTGTGCTGTTTGAAAGGATTCCTCTGTATACACGACCGAATCCACCGGCACCCAGAACTTTACCATCGGAGAATCCATCGGTAGCTAGGCTAAGCTCATCATAAGAAAATCTATGAGGCCAATATTCAAGCTCCCAATCCTCAATTTCATCCTCTTTGTCCTTGGACATCTTCTTTCTCCATAACCAGTAGCACCCAGATGCAGAGAAGATCACAAAAACAACACAACCGATCACAATCCCAGCAATTGCCCCAGCAGACAGAGCAGAAGAAGACGATTCTATCAAGAAAACCGGTAAATTGGTGGTGTTGATCTCTCTAGCAACTCCAGCATCACTCAAGGACCAAGCTAGCACCCGCTGCGCCTCAACCCACTGAGTCTTTGATGCGGAAAACCCGACATACATCTCGGTAGACAAGTAATTAGCAATCTCCGGATTTCTGTAATTAAGGGTCGGCCGTGACGGTCTGGAAACTCCGACAGGGGCAACGGTTACATTGATCTCGAAATTGGCACCGTCGAAATCAATCCACGCGTGAATATTTTGTCCGTTGCGCATATTGACCGACACGAGCTCATTTGTGGAATTATAATACCCAGCCGAAGCTGTCTTGATAGATTCAATATTGTTCAAATCGATCCCAATATGATTCCCATCTGGGTCATTGAATTCCGGATTCTGCCCGGTATCGAACTCGATTGCAAGGAGCGGCGCGACGGAGTGAGAAGTGGCGTTGGTGAAGAGACCGAAGTACTGGCTGGCTAGAGCACCTGGAGGTGATGTTGAATTGGAGAGGACGAAGCAGAGGCCGAATCCAGGGCTGGCAGCGATCTGGGGCAAGACAGAGAAGACAAAGGAAGTAGAAAAGGAGGAAAGGGTTGTGGAATTGGAAGTGGGTTTCAAGGAGAGTTTGGTTGGGTAAAATGCGCGGCCGAGGGAGAGCTGATTGGAGTCGTTGAGAAGACGGATAACGGTGGAATCGATCCTGGCATCGCTGATGAGGATGAGATCGGAGGAGTTGATTGTGGCATTGAAGGAATTGAAGAGGAAGTCAAGGGCGAGAGCTGGAGATAGAAATGAGAGGAGAAGGAGAGTTAAACATGGCGGCATGTGTATTGATTGGAAGGTGAAGAGTGGTGGCTATGGAGCTGTGAAGAGCAGAAAGATTGATAAAAGAGAAGAAAGGCTGGTAGAGCTTGGGAACTATCAAATATAAATGTGAATAGAGTCTGAGAATGAAGATTAGAGGAAAAGCCTTTGACTTGTGCAGCTTCTGAATGTAATTTTTTAAAGTCTCTAATAACTGTTTTGTTTTGTTTTTAACAATATGATATTATTTTTATGATTAATTGGATATACTTTTTTTATTTTATATATATTTAGAAAGTCAATTTCATCTCAACTAGTACTTTTGAAGTTTTTCCGTGGAGCAATAGGAAACGCTGAATCAAACATCTTTTTATCTTTATGCATTTGTTTACATTAATCACAAACCTTTATTGTGATATTTTGACTGGCACGTGAATTTTCCATTGTATTGGCAAAAAAAAAAAAAAAAAATTTCATACTATTTTATTTTTAAACAAGGATAATGAAATAGAGGCATGGAACCTGATTTTTCGGTCAATTGATAGTTTGTTAATTTGAAATGTATTTTTTTTTTATTAACGAGTTTCGAACCCACCCCTTAATAATTTGTTAAAAAAAAAAAAAGGAAACAGAGGCATGGGGTTCCATTTCATATTATTTTAGTTAAACTAAAATTTTTTGGTTTTAAAAATTAAAATTGAAACTGAAGCTAAATAGATAAAATAAAAAAAAAGTAATAATTTGTATTATAAAAGTTAAATAAAAAAATATTTTAAATTATGTTTTTTTAATAATATTTTATTAAAAATTAAATATTTTAATTTTAAAAATAAAAATAAAAACATTTTAATGTTTTGTATTATTTTATTAAAATAATATATTTTTTAACTAATTTTTTTAATATAAATTGATATTCACTCATCTCTAAAATTTTTTAGTTTTGTCTTTTATAGTTTCAGTAATTATAAATTTAGTCTCGGTTTTAACCAATAATTAGCAATCATGAAAAGAGATTAAATGTAATGTGGATGGGATAAGATTTTTAAAAAATATAAATATAAGGAAACGTGAAAGAAAAAATGACAAACGAAAGTAAAATGTGAATTTTAAATTTTATTTTTAGATATATTTTAAATTAAAATCCTAAATTATAACAAAATTTATATAGTAACACTCGACAATGAGATTTAAAAAACTGATTTTACATTTATTTATAATATTTAAATAATAATTATTTATTTATTATATAAAATTTATTTTTTCAATTATATATTCAAAATTTGATTTTCAAATCCTTTAACCATTAATTGACCGAATTTTTTAATTGTTCAACCAAAACTCAAAATATATAATGATAATTTATACTTAACCATGTAATTAATTTTTAATTAATTTTTGACTGACCATTTGGTTTACAATTATTTGCCTAGCCCTACTGGTATGTACCTGTCTAACTGGACAACAATGTTATGTATTTTTAATAATAAATATTTTTTCTTTTAATAGTTTTGATTCAATTTTTTAAATATTAATTTTAAATAAAAATTTAACAAAATATATGAATGGTAATTAAAAATTTTATATATATAATTTTTGTTAAATAATTTCATTTTATAAATAAAAGTTAATTTTCATTTATATGCAGTAGGTTAAATTTTTATTTAAAATTAATGTCTAAAAAATCAAATCAAATTATAGTAAGAAAAGTTGAATGGAGATTAGTATCTTTTTTACAATAAAAAAATTTGAATTCTATGTTTTTTGTGATATTCATTTATAGCAAACAAAATTTACTAATTTATTAATAAATAAGTTTCTATCAACAACTTAAAAAATTTAGCAATAATTTTTTAAATAAAAATAAAAAATTTTAAATTTAAAAAATATAACCTATAAATAAAATAAATGAAGAAATAAGAAAACATTACATGAGTTAAGATAAAGGAAAAAAAAGAAAGAAAATGAATTGGTGGATTAAATAGATGTTATTAAAAGGTTTAGTTCATTGTTGTCGTTTTTCTGGTGCGACTGGACGAGTTTGGCGGATTCAATTCAAAAATTGTTTGCTTTGAATTCAAGACACTGAATGCTTGATATATTTTTCCAAAGGGTCAATTTTGGCAATAGAATTATAATTACTTTATTAAAAAAAAAGAAAAACCAGAATCTGCCTTATAATTTCCACGGGGACAAGGCAGTGGGGCAAGTGGCGGCCATCTTCTTTTGATAGTATGTTGGTGGTGTAATTTGATTTGGATTTTAATATTTTTTAAATTAATTTAATTTAATTGGTTAGTATAAATTTTAAATTAATTTAATTTATTATTATATAATAATTAAATTTATATAACTTAAATTGAATTAGTATGATTTTTTCACATTTATCAGTTTTTAATATTATCAAAATTTATGAAATAATATAAAAAATTTTGACATCAAGTAAAAAACATAATTATAAAACATATTAACATTTAAATCAGTAAAAACATAATAAAATATATAAATTATAAACAAATTCTTATATTCTTTTACAATTGTAAAAATTGAAAAAATTTAAAAATTCTTCTTAACTACAATATTAGAGGCACCAAGGACAATAAAAGATGATTTGAAGTTTCAAATATATTGCAAGTAATTTTTAAAAGTTAAAACTTTTTTTTTTTTTTTGCTTAATGCACCAAATAATTCAGCCCCCATCTTCCAACCTTACTAAAAGCAAATAAAATTTAATATAAATATCACTAGAATTAATTAAAAGCATTAATAATCAAGATTTAAAACTTATCAATCAAATATCCAAAATAATAGAATATCAAAATTAGTTATATTATATAATTTTAAAACTTTTATAATGATACTTTTTTAAAATTTAGTTGGAAGAATCAAAATATCATTTTAGAAATAAATTAAAAATTTAAGATTCTAAGAGTTGAGTTGTAGATCAATTCTAAGATGTAGAGTTGTGAGTGAATTAAAAATTTAAAATTAAGGTTAGAGCGTACAATTAAGGAGGAAAAATAAATTAAGGAATATGTGGATGTTTTATTTTTATTTTTTAATTAAATTAATAGAGTTATTATCTTAAAAAATAAGAATAAAATTTAAAATATTACAAAAAAATATATTATATTATTTAATTAAGTTATTTTATAATTAGATTTTATTTTGTAATTTCATGATTTGGGTGATTTGATAGTAAAATCACAAATTAAGTCAATTTTATTAATTTTAAAATTTTATAATGCAAACCAACTTAGTTTTATATCAAATTGGTTTAGTTTTGTATGGATTAGATCAGTTTTGATCAGATTAATTAGATTAGATCTACTTGCCAGGGCAAGTTAAAAAGGGAATTTTCTTTATTTGCACAGCAAAGACCAAACTAGTAGACCTGGCAAACAAGTCGAATTGGGTGGGTTTGGACTGGGTCATCTCGGATCTTGGGTTGTTTGAATTTGGTCATTTCGAGTGTCAAATTAACAAGGTTGACTCATAACCCACCTACACGGGTCTTGGATTGGGTTGGGTAGACCCAACTTTTAAAAAATTAAAATTAAAATTAAAATTTTTCTATATTTTTCTATATTTTTCTCTATTTTTCTTTAACAAAATCTAATACTGATTAACTATTTAGTTAAAAAACTTATTAGTAATTAATTATTTAGTTAGAAAACTTATTAAACGTTAATTTTCATTTCATAATTCAGTTTTTTTCCGGTCTCAAGAAAAGAAAAGGAAAAGATTAGTGTTATAAAGGTGGAACTAAAATATATGTCAAATATATAATACTTACACAACATTTAGACTTCATCATTTTATAAAGGTATTAACCTTTATTAAAAGAAGAGATATGAAGGATTAGAGTTCAAAAGACAAATCCAATGTATATTAATATCTAATGCCTATTCAATATTTATAAGAGTATTATATAAAAAATACAGTTCTATTCAATATTTAGAAGGGAATTATACATAAAAATATAACCTTATTTAATATTAAAGTTTAAAAGGCAAATCCAAAATATGTCTAACCAAATACAAGAAGAAATTGGATCGAAATTGATTTTTATTAATTAGGAATAAATTATTAATTAAGAATAAATTAGCAACTAAAAACAAACTTTTATGTTCTTGATGTTCTTGTCTTTGTACTTCTAATGGTTATGAGGGTACTTTAGCCACTTGGTTTTGTTTTTCAGCAGGCATTCTTACTTTTTATTTTAAAAAATGATATTTTTTATGATATCATATAACATAACTCACTATGTGCCACCTAATTTAATTTTTTACGTGAGTGCCACCAAAAAGAAGGATTAAAGAGTTTGAGATGAAGAAGGGGAGAGTGAGAGTGGAGAAGAGGAAAAGTTGAGAGAAAGTGAAATTGATGAGAGATTAGGGTTTGAGTATTTTATTTATTTCTATTTTTAGAATTAGAAAATTAAAAATTTAAAATTAGTTCTTAAGTAATTTAATAAAAAATGAATAAAAAAAAATTCGGGTCATTTCGGGTGACCTGACCCACTTGTTATCCAACCCATTGGGTTCGAATAATTTCGGTCTAGGTCATTTCAAATTTCGGATTAACACATAGTTACCATGACTTTATCTATAACAAATGGGTTAGGTGGGATTTTTGGATTAGATCCAATTTTGCCAGGTCTACAAACTAGGTTTAAAAAATGGTCTAATTGTAATTTATTCCTATAGTTAGTTATATTTTAAATAAATAAGTCCCTAGACTTTGAAAATTTTTTCAAATAAAAAAAGCACAAATAATAAAAACTAAATGCAATTATACGAAAAAAAAACACGTTTTATTTTAACCTAACAAGAAACATGCTTAATTGTGTTTGGGGGTGTTGGTGATATAGGTGCATGAGTCAGCGATTGTGGCGATGTGGAGGCTAACTAGAATGACACCCGAGAAAATGAGGGGGGTTCTTTCAACGACACCTGTCTTACGTGTGGAAAGCTATATGCTACGAGCCATCCCACTTTATTGGGTGATGATACTTGCAGTGAACTCTCTAGTGAAGCTTTTCTAAAAAAAAAAAAGATAAATCTTCCAGCCAAGCTAGTAGAGTTGGGCAGCAATGGCAAGATTTCAACGATTCAAGATGATTACGCAACTATTAAAGACATGATGGGTGGAAGTTGTATATTGTTATGAAGGGGGCAGCAAAGATGGAAAATACATGTGATTCAAAGATTACAACTTAAGGATCACATTCATATATAAATCATTGTAACATGATAATAATGGCAATAAATGTGACCTCTTTCATGTATAATGTATGTCTTTACTCTATAGCGAACAATCCTCATATTAGAAAACGAAAGTGCAGCAACTTCACTCTTGAAACTCTTCCAAACACAAAAGAACAAACTTGAGAGTGGTGATGGGAGAAAGAAGGATGATTGTTTGAGAGCTTACGAATGGAGCACTTGATCCTATTTTTAATGCTAACCTTGCAACCTTGATCGTCTGATGCTCAAGAAGAACTACCTGGAAGCTAAAACTGCAACCTGTTATTTCCCAGCCATAATATTCTGCAAATCTGGAAATGTTCTGCAGTGGTGGGTGATATTCTGTAGTGTTGAAAAATGTTCTACAATGCTGGAAAATGCTCTGCAGTGCTGGAAAGTGTTCTACAGGGCTGGAGAAACAAGAAATTAGAAAAAATGGTGATTTTCAGGTGGTTTTGGCATGCAGAGCAAAAGGTTGAAGGTGGAATATTTTTAGAGAAAAAGTAGGAGTTTTGGTGCATAAGGAAGAAAGGCTGAAGTTGGGTGTGTACATCTTTTTTTTTTTTGTGCTACATGCAACTATATGTTCTGAAAATATGAAGGGTAGGTAATTTTTTTTTGTGCTACATGCGTCTATATGTTGTAATTTTTGGTTGATGGCTTAGAAGTGTGCAGATAGGTTTGGGTGAGTTGTTGAATTTTCGATGGCTTCGGGCACTACTGGTAGCTCTTATGACAGTGGCATCATGAATTGTCCAATGGTTCCAACGAAGCTTTGCTGGTTCTGGTGAAGAACTAGAAATTGTGTATTTCTAGCAATGCCTCCAACCATACGAAATCGCATCTTTAAGGAGGTGCTTGAATGCAACCGGCAAAAACAACATCTACACAGGATTTGGTAAGTTCCCCAAGCTTTGCACGGGATTTTGGAGGATTCTGCAAGCAAATAGTAATCTTTTGTAGCAATTTCCAAGGCCATGGAACTTGTGCAGCCACTTTTGCATTAAATATGGCTATAAGTTGCTGATGGTGACCAATATAGCATCTATGGTTAGTTTTTTAACGGAATTTCCAACCTTTGGTTAGCATCAAATGGTACTGTTCTGAGAATCAAGTTTGCTCCCATGTCTTCACCACCCAATCCTTTCTGGTGAAGTCGGGCAACATCACCAGTGCCAAGCTTTGCTGGTGCGGATGCCTTGCTTCACCAGACAGGTAGCGTTCACCCATCCATGCCTGCCAAGCCACTATTCTCGTAGTTTATCCCGAGTAGTTCCCATGAGCTTGGATTCATGGGCTTGTGTTTATTTGCAGCAACAACAAAGCACATGTGAATATATATTCAAGTATTTAAGCATAAGAAACTTACAAATATATGCAGTGAACAGGGGAACGCCCTTGTGTATCAGAAGGGGCTAGGTGGATGAATGTTTGCTGCTCCCATTTGTTTGCTGGCCATGGCAAGCATCAGTATATTGTTGCTGTACATGGCTGGCATTGCACTAGAATTAGGAACAAGTGATATAGGTGTGTACTACGATATCATTGTTCCGAGCCAAGCTTCGTTGGCCGACGATACCTACTGACATGTAAGACATAGAAAATATGTGTCATGAGTCAGCATTACCGACAATCAGTAATTTTATCCTTTTGTATAAAAGAGTGATAATGTGCATGACCTCCGGCCATGTTATGTACGTATTGCGGGGTCAGTCATGAATAGCTTCCTTATAGCCAGAGAGCCAATAATGGATAGTTTTGCCCATGGCTGGCATGTGAATTACGTGGAATTGGAAGAGCACTCCTACTAATCCGCCAAGCCGTAAAGGGGTAAATCTCATTAAGCTAGACTCCACCATAGCGATGAATATGTATAGAGAAAAGTGGAGTTGTCTTCATGGAAAGGGGATACCAGTCGCATCCATGGCCTTCGATACACAAGGTGTGATACCACTGATAAACGTTGGCCCTTTTTGTCATACCCACATCGTTAGAGGGTGGTCTTGGTTGTTGTTGCCCACCGGGCATTGCACCACCATGCATGGGCAGTCACCAAGGGACCGTTGGCCGCTACTTGATGGATGTTTATCATTGGAAGGTAGCCATTCCATTCGATCGTAGGGCTGCACTGTTACTAGCGTCATGCTAATTGTATTGATTTGCGTTGACTCTTTGTCCGTTTTTGGGAGCCAGTGAGATAAAATATGTAGAGATCCAACCCTTTGTCTGTTGTCGGGAGCCAGTGAAATGAAGATATATAGAAGTGTGTAGCCTTTTGTCCATTGCTGAAGGCTAAATGAGATAGCAAATTTGGCCTTTTGTCCATCGCCAGAAGCTATGTGAGTGTAACAAGATCACTTCGTTGTCCATTAATGGGAACCAATGATAGAGATACGTAGAGATAGATGCTTGGCTCATTGCCCATCACGGGGAGTTATGCAGATCAGATTGTTGTCCTTTGATGCGAGCCATGTAGTAAAGTAGGGTCTTTATCGATTACTGGAAGCCACGGGATACAACAATGAATATCTGCAGAGGATATGACTGTTAAGAAATGCCCAGCCATGTCGCCGAAATAAGTCTAGCTATGTTTGGCCATGTATGTGAAAATAGATGCTAAAGTAGGTTACATTCTGTGATGTCTCCAATGAAGTTCATGAGTGTTGTTTGTGGCGATACTAATTCCATTGCAGCAATTAATAGAAAATAGGAACTGTACGTTTGATGTGGGAAATGAGCGTTGTGGGCCCTTGCTGATGTGGATCCGCACACATCATTGGTGATGGAACCATACAAATTCATCCCTCAACAAACTGATTGGCAAATATCCCTTATTTTATAATGGGTTCCTCAAGTTGCAAAACCTTGGTTGAGGTTTGATGCTTAATTCAATTTTTCTCTAACAATGATTGTTCTCACTAGCTTCAAATCTGTAGATGATGTCCACCCTAGGGAACTTGGGAGGCTTTTTCCATCAATGAAAATGTTGGAGGCTAAAGAATATTGCTTAAGTACCAAGTATGTTTAACATGTTTAATTTGTTCCATGACCACAACTGATCTTTTATTAAGATTATATTTAATATGATTGTAATTTTAAGTTTTTTTTTTGTTATAGTTTTCAAATTTTAAATAATTAAAAATTAAAATTATTAACTTATTGGGTATAAAATTTTAAAACAAATATTCAAAACTCTAAACTTAATTAATTTATAGGAATTTTTAATTTTAGGATTTTTAAATATTTAAAAATAAAAACAAAACACTTAAAAGTACAATTAAATGGAATCTAAATTTCTAAAATATTTTGTTCCCTAATTTATTGTCAATTAAAAATATGATAAACTCTAAAAGTTAAATGAGAGATCTCTAGTGATGATTAAAAAGGTTAAATGTCAATTTTGGTCCCTCAACTTAAAGTTTTATACAATTTTCATCCTTCAACTTTTTTTTGCACTTTTTTAATCTCTTAACTATGAAAAATACATTTTTTTAGTCATTTTGTCAGTTAATCCATTAAGTCTATCTAAGTTTATACATTTTTAATCCCTTAACTTCTAATAGATGCATATTTTTAGTTCTTGGACTAAAAATATGCAAATTTAAATAGACTTAATGGATTAACTAACGAAAGATTAAAAAGTGCATTTTTCATAGTTAAAGGATAAAAAAAGTGTACAAAAAAGTTGAGGAATGAAAATTATGCAAAACCTTAAAGTTGGGAGACCAAAATTAGCATTTAACCGATTAAAAAGCATGGATATAGTCAAAGCAGTAGGACTTCTTCAAGTGGCACCCAAGTTAATCCATGTAAAAACTGTACCTCCTCGTTGCTGAAGAGTTAACGTTCAAACCTACAGTTATGGACTCTCAAGGAGACTATTATAGGAACATATGAGCAAATTAACCAAAATTCACAATAGGATCAGCCAAAAAAAGAAAAATTACATTAGGAAATTTTTTATTTCAACAAATGAAAACACCCTAAAAGCTTTCTTGTGTTTGTTTAGGTAATCATACATATGAAATTAATCAAGGAATGTTTTAACATATGCAAGTTTTCCTTTTAGAGATAACTTTTACCAGCATAACTTAGACAACCAGAAGCCACTCATTGACAGGAATGGTTAGGCTACCAAGCATGCATCAACAACCACAAACTAAACTCCTAATCATCCACATAATCTTGTCCATCATCAAAGATGTTAAACATCCATGGGCTTTCACTTCCACAAGGTTAGTAATACCAACTACTGGTAGATTTAGTGGCTTTCAAATGAAAAAAAGAAGCAAAACAACTCTTGAGAATGAGTGATCTTAAGTAGAAACACCTAACAAGGAAAGCAATAATGTATACAACAACTCGAGGTAAACTAATAGAGAATTCATCATAGATTTCAACAATAAAAGGATGCAAAGGAAAACACAAACCATAGGCAAATTGATCTCTATAAATGCACATATCAAGAGGAAGACACTAGAAAGCTGTGCAGTGCATAGGATGCTAGGGGGCAAAGACCTATGGATCCATCAAATTCTTTTAATATTATCCTTATCTCGTTAACATCACAATTGCTAGTGACCCAGGATACCTTATCGGGGTCACAAAAATCTTCGCTGAACCTAATAAAAGACTAGACCTTTCATCTTTTGAAGACAAAATCAAAGGAATTT